TACTGCTGTGTGTAAAATCAGGAAGAATTTTGTCTGCATGAAACTAGCTAGGCCAAGTCCCGTCCTAGAACATGGGATGTTCTTTAGAGGTTGCTATTTTTCATTACCTTTTGGTCACCAAGTAGGTTTCCTATGGCAAACCTCTGGTTCTGGATACAGAAAATATTCCCTTTCCCAAATCAAGTGATGTTCCAGTTAATGCATTAATGGATCTCAAGGAATGGTTTTGCAACAATAACGCTTTCTGGCATAGCATGTATTCTGTACACATTAGTCACTACAGCAACATGTTATAAATGAGGTCATAGAAGCTAAACAAGTCATAACATCGAATTCTTAATTTAGGGTCCTGATAGCTGCAGTGAATTTCCAGCACCTAGACATGCTTCACCCTGAATTAGATATTGCTAGGCTCTGAACTGCAGAAAAGTGCTGTGGAAGGGTAAGCCTTCACCATCTGTAATGCAGTTAAAATACCAGTGTTATTCACACTGAAGCTATAGCGTGTTTTTGCCAGCTACTGTATGATTTCAGAGTATACATGTTAGCAGGTTATTAAGCATGAGTCATCTATTGAATCTTTCCAGTCTGAATGAATGACTTCTATAATCTTTAAAATGTGATTTAGCAAACAAGAGCAGACTGTCAGCCAGCAGCGTGCTGTCTGACTGAGCAGACAAGGTTCCTCTTCAGGAAACCAGGCAGATAATGATGGATTTGCTGTGCTTTCTACAGGGTGAGTCCCTCCCTGCCAAAGTGCCGTTGTCAGCTTCTGCTGCAGTTGGCGAACCAAAGACACATGGCTTCTGAATAACTGATGTCTTTGGATTTTCAGCCCTGCACAAACAATCCAGACCGTGGCAGTTGACCTGATCTCATTTCCCTGTGCGGAAAATGGTTCTTCAGCCAAACTGGGCTTTCTGTCTTCCCAAGATACATCCCTGGTTGTGCAGCAACTGAGCAGCTCCATGCTTTCCCATGGGTTTGCACTGATGTAGCTTCTGACTATAGCCCTGACTATAGCTCTCCCTCCTTTCCCTTGTTCGTTTTCCAGATGCCTCTTTGCCTTGTGTGAGTATGATGTTACTTGTCACATCTTTTGGTGTTTCTTCTGTGGCGGGGTGCATTGTATGTCCATGTCTTTGAATACACCAGTCAGCAGAAATGTGGATACCCTGGAGGTTTTGACCCCTGTCAAGATTGACAGTGTATCTTTAAGAGGTTTAAAACAAACAACCAAATATAACAAACAACTTTTAGATGTTTAAAAGCTGTATGTTTGAAAAGGGGAGCCTTCTCCAGTGCCTAAAAGGCTTGCAAGGTGGGGACCTACTGCATTTATTATACTGCACAGAGGCACTGGTCATTCAAGGAGCTTTGTGTTGCAGGTGATGCTGTGAGATCTGTACCATTGCTGGGGTTTCATGTGGGAAATAACAGAAGCTGGAATTTATTGTAGCAGTTGTTCTCTGTGCATGCACTCTGGCTTGAGCTACTGCAAAACCAAGCTTGAATCTTACACCATTTTTACTCTGTTTCCTAATGACGTGCTTCTTCCTGTTCATCCATTATCCAGGACTTCCCTCCATGTCATGCTTAATTTCAAAGACATTGGAAAAATACCTAGAAGTTTGCAAAAGATCTAGAAATTCCCGTGCTAGCTCCATTCTTGACCCCACCAGTGAGGGACAGCGCCTGGGTGGGGAGGAAAGACCCATGGCGAGCCTCATGGAGGGAATCGTAGGCAGTACTTGTCCATTCTGTTTCCAGTTTTGGTTTGCACGGGCCACCCTTTGCCTGGTGAACGAGCGTGGGTGGGCAGGGATATGTAGGCTGCAAAACCATTGAAACACAGCCTCCTCACCTCCCGGTGAGGTGACAGCAAACATGGTTATATGCAGCTAGCTGGCAGGCAACTTTGAAGACCAAGTGAGTAGGCAGGTAGTAATTTGTGTTGATTTTAGGGAAAGCATTCTCCAGGGACCGTTAGCCACCATGTAGCTGTCTTTTGAGCCATGGCACAGTTCATTTTGCATCTAAAAGTGCTTTTGTAGAAGAGGACAGGGAACAAAATGAGGTGTAACATTGGTGTGAATGCTGCATTTCTGTTTGGAAGAATGTAAAGGGCTTTTCTGCCTATATGAAAATATAAGTGAGATGAGAACAACAGGAGCTCCAAGCCTTGCAGGTCATGTTCACAAAGCACAGGAGGGAGAAGGTTAGGGAGACCCTCCAAACAGGCCTGCAGAAATGAGCAGAAGTTCCCAGTTACGTTTAGCTGTCTGAGAAAGTCACTGGAGGTGAATGCTCTGTCATCAGAGAGATGCTCAGACTTTGCTATCATCTGACAGTGCTGCAGTTTCCTTGGCATCCCCTGATTACTTTAATGAAAAAAGTTCCACTTAGGTGATTAATAATTTAAAATATATATTTACCAAATTGAATTGTATTGAGATGCGATCCCTAGTTTGAAAAAGTGACCGCTAGCAGGTAACAGCTGGCGAGATAGGAACCATGGATATCGTTAGGGGAATATAAACGTACAGTTAATCTCTATTAATTTAGCTGAGCAGTAACCTTAAAACATTCTCAGCCCAGCCTGTGCCCAGCAACCATGAAATTTTGAGTTGTTTGAGCTCTTTTATTACTGATCTTCTCCAGCAACTCAAATAACCTTCATTTTTAAAAGTAAGACTACAGTGTAAAGAAAGAGAGACTGTCCAGTTCTGTATTAGTCATACTGAGGACCCTGGGTGAGGGCTATATGTCGGGGTCCATCTGTGAAGTGCTGACTTTCTTACAGACTTCTGGAGTCTGAGTTACCTGGACCTGTTGAAGTCAGCTAGAGCTTCACGGTTGACTTTGATCTATTTCAGCCACGGTCCTTGAGGATCTTTACAGTAGGGGGTAATAATTTCCCACCTCAGAAACAGACTACTGAGGGGTCCAGTATCCCAGTAGTGGGATCTGTGTGAAAACTGGTTTGTGCTGTCTTTCTTAGTGTGATCATTGCTCTAGGATTGTACAGACATTTGACTAACTGTATCTCATTTCGTTGTGGTAAAAAAAAAGAAGATTGTTATTGCAGTAGTTAAGTATTAAAATGCCTGAATAACAGGAAAATGGGCATTGACTGCAGCTTAAATCTGGAAGTGTGTGGAATACAGAACATTACAAGCAAAATAAAAGTTAAAAAATAATTATTTACAGCAAATGTTCCTGTGAATAACCTCCTACAGTTGATAATTTAGACAGATGATTTAGAGCAGATACGAGAGGCCCCCAGACATATACAAACTGAGCATTCCCACTGCAACCTTAATTTTTTGTCAGGGCCCTGAGGGCACCCATGGGCCTTAGTAGCTCTGCCCAGCCTGCCCTGGGACCCCACCCACCCCCTGCCCCTGGCCCAGGAGCCGCATTTCAGCTCAGCCTGGGTCTGTCAGTCCAGTGCCCAATGGCTGGGGCTGGGGCTGTCCCAGCTGCCTGGCCCGCAGCCCCAGCAGTGCCTTGATGTTCGTCAAGCAGTGACCAAGCCCCACGCCATTAATTCCAGACATACCTTATAGCCATGCTTATGTACCATCAGAAGCTTACTACTCAGATTGTTGAATTTTGATACCAGATACCTTGGTAAACCACTCAGGGAAAAGAAAGCTACGGTCCAAGAACTTACCTGTAACCAATTTCAGTATTTTTAGCTGAGTTATGTTACAATTCCTTGCTTTCCTTGTTTACTGAAAGAATGGTTAACCTTTAAATTTACTTTATTTTTTCCTTCTTTTCTATTCACTTAAATGAATGAAGCATCTCCTGCATCATGTTTCATTGTCTTTTTTATGGTGATAAAAGAAATGCGGATCAGAGAAACAACTGCAAGGTCTCCTAGAAAGTCCTAGTGCTGAAGCTCTGAGAAGTTGAGGGCTTGCGGTCTTGTGTGGAATGAGACCTTGCCTGGAAAGTATCTGTACCATCTGAGCAGGAAGCAGTTTCTGGCAGGAAAAGATGAACATGTGACAGGTTTTGTATTTTTATGTTTGACCTGAAATGCTGTAGGATTCATGGCCTTGGCCCCAGAGGTCCGTGCCTTGTGCTGCAAATTTCTAAATAGTTGATGAAAATGCAAGTGTTTGTCTTGAACAGAATCATGATTTAGATCTGGGAAGATAGGCAATATGGTAAAAAAGCAAAAGGTTAACTCTCAGATCTTAAGGAAGGTTATGACTTAAACCTTGCAGGTCCCTTGAGCTTCTCGTAAGCCTTTGGACAACTGATGACTGTCAATATAGCACAGGGAAAGGTGAACTTGTTTGTTTTTTCCTTATTGAAAACTAAAGTTTCTGGCTTTCATTTTGATGCCTCTCAAATTCAGTTGAAAAGAAGATATTTGATGCATTTGAGAAATGTGCATAAATGATGTAAAATGTCATAAAGTTTCAGGTGCAGAGGGAGTGTCTGAGTCGGTGCTTGATTGCCGCCCTGATGTTCAAGATAAATTGTATGCTTTAAGATTTTATTTAATTTTCATTTCCTAAGTATGAAGACACAATCACCATCTTTTGGGCTGCGTTTGCATTTTGTCAGAGATTTAAGCTTCAAATCATATTGCCACTGATACTGAACTGGCCTGTTTAAAAAGCTGTTTTATCTTATTTTAGTTGTGTATTGCAGGGATATTTCTTGCCTTGGGCTTAAAGGCAGATTTTTTGCAGGCAGAATGAGGAATGAGGCTGCTTAAAAGCAGGCACTGTTTTGAGAAACGTGCTTTGCAGCACATACAATGACAGTGAAATGGGTTTAGCTGAGCTTACAAATGTTTCACTTGCCCATGCAAATGTGGTCTTGCTTTGGGAGTGCTGAAGAGAAGGGTTTTGCTCTCTGTTTGCAGGCGAGCAGCAAGCATGAACTTGGCAACACATGACCGTGAGCATCAGGACCCTGTGATCTGAAACACGTCTTCAGCTGACTTCCCAGCGGTGAGGCGCTGTTGATCCTGTACCATGGAGGACTGCCTTCACACCTCCTCCGAAAACCTCTCCAAGCTGGTAAGCTGGGCCCACAGCCATGGGACCATCTGCAGCCTCATCCCCAACCTCAAGCACCTGCTCTCTGAGGGGGCCCATGGCAACCTGACGGCCATGTGGGGCTGTAGCGCTGGCCATGCCTACCACTGGCCCCTGGCCGCCACTTGCAGGGCCGGCTCCCAGGAGCGCGTCTGCTTCCAGGACAGCCGCAGCTTCAACTCGGACAGCCCCAGCATGCTGGGGGTGCCCTCGGAGGCACAGGCCAGCCCCCTGGAGCGCTACCCGGGCCGGCCGGGGAAGGCCAAGCTGGACTGCACCCGCACCCGCGACTCCTGTGACTTCTCCTACTGCAGCGAGCCATCGGAGCTGGGCGAGCCCGTGGAGGAGTATGAGGATGAGGCCACCCTCTTCGACATGGTCTGCGAGTCCTCTGTCACCGATGAGGACA